AAAGAGTGTGAGAAAAAAGATTTTAAGAAAGAAAACTCAGTGAGTGTCTGTGTGAGTGTGTGTGTGAGTGTGTGTGTGTGTGTGAGTGTGTGTGTGTCTGTGTGTGTGTGCGTGCGCGAGCGTGTGCGTGTGCGTGTGTGTGTGTGTGTGTGTGTGTCCGCGTGTGCGAGTGTGTGTGTGCTTGTGTGTGCGTCCTGTGAGTGTGTCTGTGTCTGTAAGTGTGTGTCTGTAGGTGTGCGTCTGAGTGTGTGTGTGAGTGTGTGTGTGTGTGTGTGTGTGTGTGTGTGTGTGTGTGTGTGTGTGTGTGTGTGTGTGTGTGTGTGTATTTGTGTGCCAGTGTGTGAAAGAGTGAGTGAGAGAGAGAAAGAAAGAGAGAGAGGGAGAGAGAGAGAGAGAGAGAGAGAGAGAGAGAGAGAGAGCTGTCGTCAGTTTTGTTATATAAGACACAGACGAGAGCTTGGTATGATAGCAAAGAGAAACAACTTCTTGCATCCAACAGAGGAATTCGAGCTGAATACATTTTTGACCGGATAATCTTACACTTTTCTCAGCCAGGACATGAAATAAAACAAGTTACACATTCTGTCACACACATGCAAACAAGCATAAACAGATGTTAGAGACTGGGGTAGACAGACAGTTTAGATAGTTTCAAAAACGTCATTAGGTCAGTCTATCTTGAAGAAAAGGTTGGGTTTTTTAAAGGAGCAATTATGGTCGCACCTGGCGCACAAAAAGAAAACAAAACAGATGGAAAGTTCTGCTCACCGGTTCACAGGTATATGACTCACAACCGTTGGCGTCAACCCTGTAAAATAAAGGACAGTTGTCAGAATATAACATAATGATGAAGTTGTGTTTTACCATAGGTGCTTGCATTTTTTAATATTTTTTTTTATTTTGGAGGGGGGGGGAGCTTCTTTGCACGGCTAAAGTCTATTCAAACGTTAATGTGTTCTGAAAAGCTGGATGCATTGTTATATCTTTGTTCCCCTTCTGTTTTCAGTAACTTGTACGATCGGTCGTCACACGTTACTCTAAGTATTGGTTATAATCTAACAGTTTTTGTCCATATGTAGTTGCAGCCACCGGCTTCATTGCCCGATTACCCGACTACACGCGATCAAAACGTTAATGAGTTCTGAAAAGCTGATAGCTATATTATATATATATATATATATATATATATATATATATATATATATATATATATATATATATAATGTATGTAAATATATGTATATAAATTTATGCATAAAAATATCATTCTAAAAATAATACGCACATACACACACATACACTCACGCGCACACACACACACACACACACACACACACACACACACAAACACGCACCTTTACACACACACAGACACACAAACAAACACACACATATATATTATATATATATATATATATATATATATATATATATATATATATATATATATATATATATATATATATATATATATATACAGTCAAACCTGCCCTGACGGCCACCTCTATAAGACGGCCACCTGTACAAACGGACAGTTTCCATTCCCCCCCTTGCGTTTTTTCTATATAATTTAACTGTGTAAAACGGGCACCTGTCCAACGCGGCCGCGGCCACCATATTTCAACACACAACCCCTATCACACAAAGCAATAACACCTGTCTTAGACGGCCACCTAAGTGACTCCATTACGCTTTGTCATAAATCAAGCATTGGCCCCTAGCGTTGTGGGCGAGCCATCATAATCTAAAAACCTGTCGTTGTTAAGTAGTCCCTCCAACTGATCATGTTGCGTAGGCCCCTCCCACTGTTGACCAATAGGTAACAAAATTAATTTTCAGCTGCTGAGGAGGGAAGCGTGTGATCCCTCATAACCCATAAGCCCCGCCCAGAACCCATACACAAATCGTAGTGAGATGAGTGGTCACTGTTTACCCAGTCTGTAACAAAGTAACAATGGACGTCAGCATGAACTTGTGACAGAAGCGTCGCTTGTTCTCCGAGTGGTAGCGACACGTGTGTTTGTTTTACCATAGCACTCGATCCTCCTTGTCTGACACATTTCGTTTTATTGTCACCCGTGCACAAAAGCAGCAACAAAAGAAAAAAAAAACCCCAGCGAAAACAACAACACAAATAAATAACAACAACAACAATGCAACTAGATCTACCTTCGGTTGGGACCTCAGAAAGAAAGGGTTTGTTTTCTCAGATAGAAATGGTTTGTTTTCTTCATCTTGATCAGTCCTGTCTCAGACGGCCACCTGTCTTATACGGCCACTTTTCTCCTTGAGA